TCCTCAGTTCAGATCGGGGAGTACCTGACCACCAAGTATGCGCTGTGGTTGCACATGCGATCCAGGGACGACGATCGGTTGCATGGCCGTCGACAACGGCGGCGATGGGTAGCCTTATTCCACTGCAAGGACAGGGATTCGTTCGAGGAATGCTTGAGAGAAAACGACGTGATTCATAGCAAACAAGAACGAGAACGACTGAAGAAGCAGCTCGCCAAAACGAAACACGCCAAACTCGTGTTGAAAACCGACCAACCCGTGGCCTATCGGGTGTTTTAGCATTAGCTAAGCAATGCCAGTTTTGAACTGCTCATCGTGTGTAACTTAACCTTCATCTCGCTATGTTTCGCGTGCATCGGGTTTTTATTATTAGAATTAAAAATCGCTTGTTACATTATAGGATGCAGTGCAATGAACTGCTCAAACAATTGTTGTTGCCGGATGACAAGCTGGTGCCTGATGATAAATGCAACGACAAGCAAGAGAAACTGGTAGCGCTGGCGGCGCTGGCGGTCGGTAGCAAAGCCATACAGTACTTTGGGGACTACGCTCCAGATAAAATTCAGAAACTACCCGCCGATGAGATCGATAAGCTGGACGCAAGATACGAAACCCGGCTCGGGGCCAAGATGACAAAAACTATAGGGTCGACAATGACGCAGATCTACACCGGTTTAGCGTCGTACTTCCTTCCCATTCCCCCGGAACATCGACTTTACGTGTGGGAGGATCTCGAGAAAGATCCCTTTATCGAACACACTTTGGGCGCCGTCAGCTTCGTGTTGTACCACAAATACGGTATGTTTTTAGCTCCGGTGACAGCTGCGATTATCACGGCGAAGCATTGCCAATTTAAAGAGAAAAAAAAATAAAATAATAGTATACAAGAAGGTAAAAAAAATAATAATAGTATACAAGATGGAAACTGCCCAGCAAGAAATGACTCCAACGGAGGAAATGCCGGCAAAGGTCACCAAGAAGAAGAACCCTAAATGGGTCGCCGCCGGTAGAAAAGGCGGTTTAGCTAAGCACCACGAAAAAAATTATACTCTGTGGGTTGCAGGCGCAGCTGCTGCTGCTCTCTCATTATTCATGTTATATAATAAACCAACCCCCACCCCACAACCACAATTAGAGGTCAACCCCCATATTATGTTATAATTAAAAATATATTATATTTTATATACATAATGTCTGAGGGAAAAACGTTCGTTAACGACGCATACCACCCCACCATGGTTGCCGGTATAGCCGTAGGGTATGCTCGTTTGACCAAAATGGCTACGATCGCTATGATGGTCGGGGGGAACTTTAGTCAACGCCCTGGCATTTCCCGGGAGCAATTACCTCTTCTCGAAAATACGGGAGTCGAACGCGGCCGAGGTAGAAGCGGGACGAAAACGCCACGATATAGCCGCGAAAGAATACCTGCTAACCGGTAAACAGCTCAAACCTTTGATGAACTCAAACTCTCTCAGTATTACGCGCCTTCCCCGGGGCAAAAGGACCGAGAACTGGCCTTTGTCGTGCTGGGCCTAGCAGCGACTGTGGTGATCGCAAAGCAATTAAACTAGGTACCCATATGAGTATAAAAAAGATGAGACCTGACCCGTATCGATGCCAGTACGTGCTTATGGGGAAAACCGAGACCTGCGGTAGGAGATGCAGGACTGTGGGGTAGTGCTGTTTTCACAGAAGTTGTTTCATGAACTACACGTGCTCTGTGTGCGGCATCAGAGTGAAATGCCACTACTGCATATGTAAAACCCACGGGCAAACGTAGTCTGACACCAGCTCATCTACGAGAAGGAAAAGGACTACATAAACGAACGTAGGCGCCTCCTCAGAATTAAAATTTGCCTGGCAGATAGAGTTACCACCCCTCCATAACCGTGGGCTCTAATAGAGATTGAGTTTGCATCTAAGTATAACAATGACTACTGTTCGAGAACTGGCCGATCTACAGTTTGTGCAAACTATACCACCCCCCCCGTAAGGGATTATCTGATAAGCTGGCGGATGAATATATACAAAAATATAGATATTGACGATGCTGATCGCTGACAAACTCGAAGAGGAACTGAGCGTCCTGGGACGCCTCGAATTTCAAATAACGGTGGTAATACTGTTTGTTATAGATGAGGAACACATTCGGGCTCACTTAAAAGATGGCCAAAGAGTCGTGACCGAACCCGAGATGATAGATGTGCATGTCAATGACTCGCTGCGAGAAATACGAGATTACATGCTAAACTGGGACAGAATCGATAGGATCTATCTAAATATAGCTTAGCGGGTTTAGGCCTTGCGCTTCATTTTTTTAACTTTATAACTGGTGGCCCAATTAGAGATTGGATTTACATCTGAGTATAACAATGTCTACTGTCCGAGAGCTCAGGAAGATTGCGAGAGAATGAGGTGTAGCCGGTAACTCCCGAATGAGGAAACCTCAGCTGTTGAGATTGCTCGACATACAACCCCTTCCCACGGTGAAACAACTGAAACTCCAAGCTGGGGCTGACGGGTTATTCCCGTATGAGGAAAGCCGAGCTCGTCGGACTGTTGCACCAACACAGAGTTGTCGATCTACAGTTCGTGCGAACTAAACGCGTGGTAGGTAATTATCTGAGAGGTTGGGGGATGAATGTAGACCAAAACATAAACATCGACGACGTCAAGCCTCTGATCCCTGCCAAAGTCAATGAGGAACTGAACGACCTGGAAGTCTCAAACTTCAAATCACGGTGAAAATGGCTCTTGATAAACAGCAGACGGACGGTGCCATTGAGTACGTTCAGCCTTACTTCAGAGGTAAACAAGAAGTCGCGACTCAACCCGAGACGATAGACGCGTCCATCGACACCTCGCTTCAGCAAATACGAGAATACCTGGGATGGTATAGACGAACCCACCCCCATATCTCAGGTCACCAAAATCGAGAAACAGAACCCCATAGCCATCAACGTCTTTGGGCACGAAGGCAACAAAACGATCGTGCAACAGCCCGGTGACCGAGGGTCGCGTGATCAATATATTCATGATCCAGCGAGGTGACAAGTGCCACTACGTGTGGATAAAACACTTCAGCAGGCTGTTGTACGATTAATCATCACACAGAGAAAAGAGACACTTCTGCGAACGGTGCCTGCACGGCTTCACCCGGGCTGACCTGCTGGAATCACAGGGAGGATTGCCTAGGCGTGGGGCATACGGCCATACGAATCGACATGCCCAAGAAACGCGACAACACCCTAAAATTCGACAACCACAAGAACCAGATGCCCGTGCCTTACATCATCTAAGCCGACTTCGAAGCCCTCGTCAAACACGTTGACATCGGGCCGTCCCCCAACTCGCACAAAACGCATGAGCACGAGGTGTACAGAGGCTGAAAAGTTTCTCATGTGCTTGCAACAGGAAGAGAAAACCATCAGGAAAAAGTTGTACACCGTCGTTCCCATGTGTATGACCCAAGCCGACCGGCGAGCTCACGGCTGCAGCACTCACTGCCACGTGTGTGACTCACCCCTGGATGGTGATTCAGTGAGAGATCACTGTCACATCACCGGTGAGTACAGAGGCGAGGCTCACAGCGTGCAACCTCAAGCTCAGAATCAACCCCAAAACAATCAACATCCCCGTGGTCTTCCACAACTTGAGAGGGTACGACTCTCACTTGATCATGCAGGCCATCGCGAGGGTCGACGGCAACCTGACGTGCCTCCCAACAACATGGAGAGATACATCTCCTTCTCCCTGAACGGCCTGAGGTTCATCGATTCAGTTCAGTTCCTACTGTCATCTCTCGACAGTTTGACAGAGACTCGACCCCTGCTGATGAGGAAGGGTGTTTACCCCTACGAGTATATGGACAGCTGGGCCAAGTTCGCCGAGACCCGACTACCCCCCATCACCCGATTTTACAGCAACTTGACCGACTCGGCCATCACCCAGGACGATTACGACCACGCCCAGAATGTGTGGGAGAAACTGGACTGCAGGAACCTGGGTGATTACCACGACCTGTACTTGAGAACGGACGTACTCCTGCTGGCTGACATGTTTGAGACGTTCAGAAAGACGTGTTTCAAGCAGTATCAACTCGATCCCGCATGGTACTACACCAGCCCCGGTCTCTCTTGGGATGCCTTGCTGAAAAACACCGGGGTCAAACTAGAGCTCCTCACCCGTAAACAACATGCACCTGTTCATCGAGAAAGGATTGCGAGACGGGGATTTCCATGGCCTCCAAACGCTACGAGTATGTGAAGGGCTACGACTCTAGCAAGCCCACCACCCACATCCTCTACCTTGATGCCAACAACCTGTATGGCTGGGCCCTGAGCCAGTATCTACCCACCGGGAGATTCAAGTGGGTGCCTGAGATAGACGTCATGAGCATACCGCCGGATTCGGGGAAGGGTTACATACTCGAAGTGGACTTGGAGTATCCAGCAGCATTACACAAGTCACACAATGGCTACCCTCTGAGCTCCCGAACGTTTGACGGTGAACCCGGACTGGATGTCTGACTACCAACGGAACTTGCTGGGGGGTAATAAGCCGGCCAACGTTGAAAAACTCGTACCCAACTTGATGACCAAACCAAGTACATCGTTCACTATCGCAACCTGCAGCTGTACCTGTCGCTGGGTATGAGGCTGACTAAAATTCATAGGGTGCTCAAGTTCAACCAAAGCCCCTGGATGGAGCCCTACATCAGAGCAGGGTGAACTGGCAATGTGGATCTAAGTATCTTGTCCAAGGATACTACGCAAATGTGCCAACCTTGGGACTCGAACCTAGGTGCCTCCACCGGGGATCGAACCCGGGCCTTCAGCGTGAAATGCTATGCATGAGTGACCTTTTCATAGATCCATTCTATAAGCTTTGTATGCGTAATGTTATATAAGAGCTCGAACCTTGTAGTGGGGAAGTAGCGTAGTTTAACATTATCAAATAAAGTAACTAAGAGAATCATTAGTCCCTTGCGATCTTACCTCATGTACGGATCCACACTAAGATACACTGCATCACAGATGAATTCTGAAACATGTTTTCATAAAGATCTATAATCTACAGAGAAAGACCTTGTGTTGCTTAACGCCGCAATATTTCAACGATATGGCGGCGGTTTGTAGTGAGTGAGTTTAGTTTTACGCCGCGCTCAGCAATATTACGGCTATATGACGGCGGTCTGTAGTGAGTGAGTTTAATTTTACGCCCACTCAGCAATATCCCAGCTATATGACGGCGGTCTGTAGTGAGTGAGTCTTTTACGCCCACTCAGCACAATCCTATATGATCAAATAATCGAGTCTGGATCAGACAATCCAGTGATCAAGAGCATGAGCATCGATCTGCGCAATTGGGAACCGATGACATGTGTGTAAACATTCGAGTGAGGAATAGATAATCAAGTGTCTGACATCATGATCAACATCTAAGTAGAGAAATATTTAATACATTTCATTCGTTATATACTCATGCCAATAATGGCTATCACCCCCCTCCTCACCCCAACCCCCCACACACCTCACACACCCTCTCCAATTAAAAAAATTGAAGGGGGTGACAACCATTATTGGCATGAGTATATGTCTTTAGAATATCGACGAAAGTGTTTTTGCTAGAATTGCTATGATATTTAATTAAATAATCTTTGATATATCCTAGAGAAGATAACTGTATGGTCAATAAATCAGATAGTTGTTATACATCAAATGAAAGAAATCCTGATCTTCCTTTTACACTTTTGATTTCACATTTACTGAAAATGTTTCTTAGATTATGCTGATCCTATGGCTCAGAAAAGGCCGCTATCACACCTTCCTATTATTGAATTGTACCTCGTGAAACGTCAGTCTGCCAAACTGTATAGTCATAATCATAACCTATCTCCGTTAACCATAATCCCAATGAGCTCTACATTTGTACGTTTAAGTTTCCTTTAAAATTATATTTAAACACATTTTACAGTGTATTTTGATTGTAAATGACCAACCCTAAACCTAACTCCAAGAAGACAATGTCATCAATATCCCCCGCAGTGGTAAATTCGCTTCATGAATATGTCAAATAGTTATCACTATGTCAAATGTTACGGTGTTCTTCATACTGATCTAACGAACACATACATATATAAACTATTCATATACAAGCATGCTGGTATCAACAACAGACTGCCTGAGTGCTTCTACGGTTTGATGTACATCAGCAATGTTGATACAGGAGATAGAGTGGTACTGTTGATTTATGTCATTAGGTTCTTGAATACCCACAAAGTGGAATGAGAGTGTTAAAAGGTTTTTAAGTTCTGCTCCGGAAAAGAGCACTACCACCAATTTCAGTCAAAATCAAATTCGTTGCCATGGAAACACCAAAAATATTTTACTCAGAAAATAATAACTACCAAAAGGCACATGTTCACCAGCAGACCTACACTCATGTGCCATATTAAAGTTCACAAAATGGCTGCTGTGATTCTTGCCAGCAGTAGCTGGATCTTTTAAATGAAAGTTTATTTCATCTTAGCAATAGTTATAGGGTATGAAATTTTAGGGGGTACACATTTGACTTAACACCTGTTACATTTTGTAAACAAAAGGGGAATAACTCTCAAGTGCTTAGTATGACGTCTGCTCAAAGTGTCATGGCACCTAGAGGGAAAGATCTTACTGCCTATAAGAAAAAGCTTATATTAAGTTTGAATCCAGAAGGCAAGAGTGGAAGTGAAATAGGTAAAATAACTGGAATTAATAGGTTTACTCTCTGTAAGTTTCTGAAGAGGTTTTCTCAAGGAGGAATACAGAAAATTATCAGATAAGTGGCAGGAGAAGAAAATCAACTGACAGAGATACTAGGGCTTTATTGAAGATTGTTAAGTGTAATAGGAGGAAGTCTCTTCAGGATATATCTTCACTTTCGAACCAGACATCTCAAGTAAGAATATCCAGGAGGACAATAAAAAGGTGTCTTCATGAAAATGGTTCAAGAGAAGAGCCTTTGCCAGAACACATTTGAGATGAAATGTAAATAGAGATTGGTCTTGGGTAATATTTTCAGATGAGACTCAAGTTGTTGTAGGAAAAGATCAGAAAGTTTATGTTTGGACGACTAATGAAGAAAAGTGGAAATCCCGCTGCCTTGGTGTGTATAGGGATAAAAATGACCCGCGTCTCAGTGTGATGTTCTCGGGGTGTATTTGTTTTGAAGGTGTTGGAACACCTTGTCGATGTAGATGGTCATATCAACTCTACAAAGTATATTGATATACTGGACAGCAACCTTTGGCCAGTAATAGCCAAAGTTCCAGCATATTGGGGCTATATATTTCAAGAGGACAATTGTCCTGTCCATGTTTCTAGACAAACAATTCAGTAGAAACGTGACAATGACATTCAGACAAGGAATTGGCCTCCTCAGTCCCCAGACTGTAATATCATTGAAAATGTATGGAGAACTCTGAAAATATGGCTACAAAGACAGTTACATGAAATAAAAACCAAGCAGGATCTGATAGATCACGTTCAAGGTATCTTGACATCACTTACTCCAGAGTACATAAAATCACTGTATTCTACTCTACCTAAGCGAATGAGGGCTGTACTTGCAGTAAATGGCTAAATAAATACTGAAAATATCAGGCTGGCATTAATAAACTCTAAAAATCACTGTATTCTACTCTACCTAAGCGAATGAGGGCTGTACTTGCAGTAAATGGCTGTATTAATAAATACTGAAAATATCAGGTAAGTGGCTTCAGGCATTATTTTAAAACAAACTTTATTTACTTCCAATCACAGTTAGCGAAATTAACATGGCGGCCATTTTGTGAACTTTAATATGGCACATGAGTGTATCTATGTGCAAGGTTTGGTGAGGACATATTAAACAGTTTTTATGTTCTGTTCACTCACTCACTCACTCAGATCATAAAGCAGCACGCTGAGGGTCGAGAACGGATTGGGGTCATGGGGATGGTCCACTGGTCCGTCGAAAGTCGATTTCTTTTGTTCATAACTGATGGCCGAGCTCCTGTTGGCGCAGCGGAAACACTGCATATGCACAAGGGGATATACCTTGGATCAAGCACCGTTGGTGAGGGTTCACTTATGTTGTTGAGATACCTCTTACGTGACTGTATCGAATTCAATTTCCTTACACAGTTACATACCTGTCCCAGATTCGCACGCAGCCGCAATGTAATTGATATAACAGCCTGTCGCTGGTTTACGTACCCTCACGACGAGGGTGAGTTTATTAGTATTATTTTTATTATAGGGTATTTATATAGCGCACATATCCAGGCAGCTAGTGCATGCTCAAGGCGCTGGTATTTTTTGCCTCGATCATTTGATGTCAATCTCAACGGCACATCGTATTATCAATCTCAACTGGCCACTAGGCGCACCGAGTTATTGTGGCTTTCTCATCCTAACGAGGTACCCATTCACAGCTCGGTGGACTGGGACACATAGTCACAGTACTTTGTCCAAGTTCACTGCACGTTGCTGTACCCGCAACTAGGTGTTTGCGCGTATTCATGTGGCCACCATCTGGTCATATACCAACGGATTAGTGGGTTCTTTTAAGTGCACAGGGTTGTGTACTGTACACTAGGGGTTGTGACACCACTGAAAGAGTCTGCACGAAAAGTTGAATCCAAGGTTTTTACACCCGGTCACAAGTGGGCTCGATCCCGACACCTCAACCTCGCTGGATCACTAGCCTGGCGCCTTAGACAGCTCGCCCACCGCGCCCCCACTGTAACTAGCTATTCAAACGTTTTAAACATATCGTATTGTCCAAAAGACAAATTAAGGGATTGGGCACAAGTTCACCACTTATGGTCTCCTTCACCCTAGCTATTCAAATCATCGAGGTACATGTAAAGATCCGGGTAAGGTTGACAGGAATCAGCTGATAATCCTAATGTGTGTCTGTATTTTGAAATCTAGTTTCATAAAACCATGGACCCGTGGAGATCCGGGTTAGAATTGATCTTCAGTAACCCATGCTTGTGATAAGAGGTGACTAACGGGATCGGGTGGTCAGGCTCGCTGACTCGTCGTATCCCAATTGAGTAGATCGATGCTCACTGGAGAGTCTAGTCCACACTCGATTATTTATTCTTATAGCTGGAATATTGCTGAGTGTGGTGTTAAACAAACCAACCAATCAAATCAAATCAAATCACCGAGCCCTGTATCCAGCTGCAAGTACATGTATACAAATACCTCCAAGCATACGTGTATACAAATACCCCCAGTCTGTATGTCTGGTATAAAATGAATAGAGGTTTCAGATCTGTCCGTGATAGACATATAATCAGGGCAGAAACTGGGGCGGTTGGCTATCTGAGTGACGAACCTCTTCCCGCTTGTGACAGGACTGGGTATCCACAGTATATATTGAGCCAGTTCAAATTTAACCTGACTTTTGCTGTATTTCAAACCAAGTTCAGTATTACAAAACCAAGTTCACACACATACACAAGTCCATCACACCTGTGAGTAAGTATGGTAATGCACTGCTTTTAGCAATAGTTCAGTAATATTCCAACAAAAACAGCAGAAATGGGCTACACACATTTTACCCTTGTATTGAACCAGGATCTTCGCTGTAGCTAACTAGGCTACCTTCGTCACAAGTGATTCGATAGAGCTTTCTTGCTTTGTTTGTCGGGTTACAGGGATACGAATACAAACACGTCAGTAATTCATGTTTATACTGTGAGTGAGTGAGTGAGTGAGTGCAATATTTAAAAAGAAAATGACAACACCGATGTGGTAATGGTAGACTACAAACAATGTGCTTTAAGCAAACGCAGAATGAAATATTTCCCCCAGAACGGTCTCAATATCGTACCCGATATCAAGTAGCAACATTATAAATTTATAACTAAAAATCTGAGTATAAGCAGCAGCGGAGGCAATGAATAACACGACAATTCATTAACAACGCCGAGCACCGTTATACACCCAGTTAGCTATACGCTAACCCAGAGCAATACATGACGTTATGACACTGTGGGTGGGAGATCTCAATCCTTCGTCACGCCATATTCTCACCTCCGTCTTTCAAAGCAGGCAGTTCCTCCTCTTCAAGCTTGAAGTTGGAGTCCTTTGGCTCTCCTTCAAACTCTCTAGCAAGTATCCACTTCTTTGATTTAACCATTTTGTCGTCAGCCTGCTCGTTCGTGCTCCCTCACGTATATATGTACCGACTGAGCTGGGGATAATGACACAGCAAAAAGACAAGAGTTTTTTACGGATGACAACTTCTATATTGTGAAGGGTCACGACGTTTCGAAGTATACTACTCAAAACAAGTTAAGGGTCAAAACTTTTAATGGCCATAACTACAAATATAAATAAAAGTGAAATGTAGCGATCATATAACAACTCGAGCCAACATTTCATGATAACCATAACGGGAGACAAAACAGCAGGAATGTCAGTAATTGCTGATCAATAAGGTCAAAGTGACCTACTGTCAGAAGTGAAAATTCAAACGCCAACATCGGACTAATAATGGATGTAACCACCTCGAGCAGTAAGACAAGAAGTACACTTCTGTCTCATACTGTTCACCAGACGTTGGAAGAAGCCTTGGGGTATTGCCTGCCATTCTGCAATGAGATACTGGGCCAGGTCTGCACCGTTGTTTGGAGAGGCGTGGCTGTTACGAAGCCGACGTCCTAACTCATCCCAAGCATGTTCCATAGGGACTAAATCTGCTGAGTATGCCGGGCATTCCATGTGCTGAACATTGTTCTGTCTAAGGAAGTCCGTCACAACACGGGCACGGTGTGGTCGGGCATTGTCATCTTGGAATATGGATCCGACGCCGATACGTTGTAAACATGGTAAAAGAAGGGGTCTGATAATCTCCCGTAGATAGCGATTCCCGGTCAGGGTACCATTAATGACATAGAGAGGTGTCCTTTGATGAAAGGAAAACGCAATTTGTTCCTTTTTTAACACCGTACCACATGATGACTATTGGCACCACGGTTATCTGCAGCCTTTATCCAGGTTCTGCAATGGTTTTGGATAAACTACCATCCACGGAATATGAAATGTTATTCATGCATAATGCAACCAGCCTCGTCAATAACATTACATGATGACATCGCATGACCCTTAACTTGTTTTGAGTAATATTATGATTCACCCGATGATGGAATCAGAATATACTTCGAAACGTCGTGACCCTTCACAATAAAGAATTTGTCATCCATAAAAACTCTTGTCTTTATGCGTATCACTTCTAAATGCCCTTCAAAGACGCAATGACACAGCAGTAATACTGAAAGTAGAGCGTCCTGGCTGACAACCAACACATGCGCCAAAAGGTCGGGTAGAATCTTATCAGCTAGCTATAACTCTCCATACCTTTTACGATCTGGATTGTTCGTGCGAGGCACATACGAGTGGGATGTATATATTTGTCCGTGACTGTCCCATGATTTAGCTGTGCAATTTAGATTTGATATTTATGAAAAATTATAAATGGAACTGCTGATGCAGCAAATATCGAAAAACGTGTTGCGCTTTTTATTGAGGGTTTTGAAGGCTTTGAGTGCAGCTGTTGGTGTAAAAAATGAATTAGAAATGTGGCAAATGAAAAATGATGATTTGATGCAGAGGGAAACATATTGTTTGTTTGAACTTAAACTACTTGCAAGTCCTTCACATTCTCCTTACTTACTCGCCATTCACATTTTCTGAAGTTACATGATCTTCACTGTGGCTTTAATAATCCAGATATTCAGTGAATTTAAATACATGTTCATATTACATGGTGCCTTGACACAGATAGCACTGACACGCATTGCCTTTTCAGATAAATACTTTCATTGGACAAAGTGCAAAGTGGGGTTTTAACGTGTGTGGGCCTATCCTCTCTACAACAGAACTCATTACTTCTGACCTGGCATATATACTACATGTACGTGTTCTCGTTTACATACGCACGTACATACATAGAAAATACTACACGAGGTCTCATCACATACTAATTATACGAGTGAGTTTAGTTTTACGCAGCACTCTGCAATATTCCAGCGATATGGCCGCGGTCAGTAAAATAATCGAGACAATCCAGTGATTAAAAGCATGAGCATTATCTACGCAGTTAGGATACGATGACATGTGTCAACCAAGTCAGCGAGCCTGACCATCCGATATCGACAAATTATTCGAAGCTCGTTACCTTCCTATATACGAAATATACGAAACGAGTATCGTAATCATACGAAAGCGAGGTCAGATACCATAGGAAGGTCACGAGTTTCGTAATGGGACCGAGTATGGTATTTTATTTATTATACCCACGTCTTACCTGCATAAAATTGACAAAATAGTGTATTTTGGCTATTTTTATGGTTTCAAACCGAAATCGGTTTCACAAAGAGGTTTCGGAAGAATTTTCTTCTTACTTTTTTGCATGACGTCACACTGTATTGACGTCACTACACCATTCTCGTCTGCCCCCTCGTTATCAAACGTTCCCTTGGCAACCGAAGACACGATACATGTCAGTTGTCATCGCCTCGTACAGTAACCTACTCTGTAGCATACCGTTTCTTTGTTTTCAGTTACTGTTGCTTCATTCGGCTAACGTCACTGGTGGAACATTATGCTTATGTTTTTCGACGGATATAATGTCTCAGTTCGACTCACAATTAAAGAGCAACACGGCAACGTTCGCAATGTTTACATTCCCACAAATGCATCCTGGAATGTCACGTGACTAGTCAGCTTCATCTCCATGTACTGATCTAAACTATTATTATATGTTGTAGAATGAATGAAAATAGTTCCGTCACAACGTGACCTAACTGAGGGGTTATCGGTTATCCAATCAAATTGTCAGAATGTCACGTCTTAGGTCAACACGATAGGACACTCGTGTGACGTACGAGATTAGTATGCCACAACCCATACGTTGACCACGTGGGTAATAAATACTAATATTTGTATAGCGCCAATATCCAATTCAGCTGCTTTGTTATTTCCTCAATCACTGGATGTCAATCTCAACGGCACATCGTATTTTCAGTCTCAACTCCCTGGGGAACATACAGCTCATACAGCGCATGGGATGAGCAAGAAGAGTTTTTTACCCCAGAGCAAGCAGATTTAGACATTGTTTCCAAACAGCAGATAATATATTTATTCTTCATACAGTCGATAATAAATACTTATCATTATATACTACAAACAAAAAGTATAGGAACACCATAACATTTTATAGTCATATATAAACTTAAACTCGATGAGGTCATTTATCCTTTAAGGTAAATGCAACTTTTTGTGTGCTTAATGGACACTTTAGATGGCATGTTAGAACTTGCAGTGAAGCAACTGATTCAATATTCGTTGCGTTTGAGTGAAATGAAACATTGCCAAAAACAGCACAAAACAAGGGTGATGAAAGACACCAGCAAGATGTTTGACCCAAACGCCCAAACACAACAGCCTAGTGCATTTGGAAGACAGACTTCCCGTGCAGCTTGTGGGTATATAAGGGTTTATAGTTTATTTTACAAGGTGTGACTTGGAAATGTGAAACGAAAGACGTTTTCTTTACTTACAAATATGTACCAAAATGTAATTAAAGTCATGTGTCTAACTTAAAACAGGTTATACCTCTTTTTTTGAGCGTATGTATGGAGTACGCCAAGGATGTCAATTATGTCCATTTTGGTTCTCCTTTTTTATTAATGACCTAGTTGTCTGCTAATAGTCAGAGATTATCGATTTAGATCTGCTGTTCGCTGACCACATTGTTCTATTTGATGGCACAGTTCTTGGGCTGCAGAGGAATAAGTTAAGCACATACTGCAATAAATGGAAACTTGAAGTAAACCTTGATAAGACTAAAATTATTGTTTTTAGAAAATCAGATAGACTTAGGAAATGTGAAAAAATCTCTTTAACCGGAACCCCCTCAGAGATAGTTTCATCATATGTACGTATAAATATCTTGGCGTTCATTTCTCTTGCTCTGGAAATTCGTATCAAACTAAAAAACACTTTAGCAGAACAAGCCTGGAAATTACTATCTATTGTCAGATCTTCTATAAAAAACAACAACAAATTTACCATTGAAAGTCTTATTACATATATTCCATGTTAAAATTCTTCCAGTCTTCATGTATGGTTCTGAAATTTGGGGTTATCATCCCTCACCAAATATACAAAAATATTCATGACAAGTTTTGTAAGCTGGAAAAAAAAATTGATTTGACTTCTCTTCAGCCATGGTTTTGGAAATGTTTGGGTTGATCAACAAATTACAAATGTAAACAATTTCCTGATACAGTTTAAGCAGAGGTGTATTGATATTGATCTTCAAAGGTGGGACTCAGATCTTGAAAAATATACTAAACTAGATTTTTTCAGACTGATAAAAATGACTGTGTCAGAAGAATATTACATTAGTGCTGTAAATGTGAAGGTATATTGCGTTGCCCTTTGTAGATTTCGCTGTTCAAATCATATGTTAATGATTGAATATGGAAGACGTTTAAATCTTGTACGCAACGAACGTTTGTGCCCCTTGTGTATTATTCCAATGATCGAATCTGAATACCATTTTTGCCTTGAATGTCCATTCTATCAAGATCTAAGAACATGTCTCATACCACGTTTTTATCATGTATATCCTTCTGAAAACAAGTTAGCCCTACTGTTTACTTCTCAAAATAGTATTGTTATAAACAACCTTTATCTTTAGCTATGAAAAGACTAACGAAATATTTTGCATCATGCTGATCTTGTGTTCACATCTCTGTTTACAATTACACCTCTGTATCCATTCCGTCACCTGTATGACGCTTCATGTCATATCTTAAACCCTTCTGATATGTATGTGCATAATGGGCAGATGGCCCCCTTATTGAATAAACACATACACTCGTACAACCATTAGGCGTACCAAGTTAATGTGGCTTTCCCATCCTTACGAAGTAGACATCCACAGCTGGGTGAACTGGGACACATAGTCATAGTACTTTGTTCAAGTTTACTGCACGTTGCTGTACCCACAACTCGGTGTTTACACGTATTCCACCGTCTGGTCATTTACCAACGGATTCGTGGGTTTTTTAAGTGAACAGGGCTGTGTACTGTACACTAGGGATTGTGACAACACTGAAAGAGTCTGCTCACAGGTTGATTCCAAGATGTCATCTCATGAGCGAGAGTCGTATGACGATCTTTAAAAT